CAGGAGCCCGATGTCCGGGGTGAGGAAGGGACATGGGGAGCATGGCAGGAGCAGGGACGGAGCCTGGGAAGGTTTTTGGGGCATTTGTCACTGCTCTGTAACCCGTGGGCCCTCAGGGGCACCCTGGCAGTGGCACCCACTGCAGCTCATCCTTCTCATGGTCCTTTCACTAGGCTCTGGGCTCAGGATCTTTTGCCCTGTCCTATGGAGCAGGTGGAATTTTTCTGTGTTTTCTGTTCGTACTGCAAAAGTCCAAGCTGCAGGCAAGCCAGGACTTGGGAGTCCAGCTTCCACTGTCTTAGCAGGATTTAGGGAATTACTTGCCAGGAACTACAAGCATGTAAACATTGCTTTAACCAGAAACGCTTCCACGTCTTATAAAATTTGTTACCAAAATTTTAATCGTCATGGTTTCTTTTTCAGGATGTGGTAAGTGCCTGAAAGTTTTATTTGGTCTTAGAAGCAATTTTGGTCTGCTACAAATTAAGATCAGTTACGTTTCTCTTCAAATTCCTTAACCTTTCCACCTGAAGATATAATTTCAGAATGAGGTCACATTCTCTGTGTAATCAAAATATATTGTCCAACTGATAAGAAAGAAAGATAAAATCTTTGGGATCACAGCCATTTAAACAGGCACATCAAGTGCTCTAAAAAATAGTCCTGTTAGACAAAAGTATCAGAAATGTGAGAAAAAGACAAAATCCTTTTTCTTTGCTGTGTGATTGCCTAAGTATAAAGTGTCCCAAATTTTTATTTAACAGACAAAAAAAGCCCTTAAAATGTTGTGATGGAACTGACATAAACCTTGTTCAGAAAGAAATTTAAAATTGATGAAAACATTTGTTTTAATATTTAATTTTTTATATTTAATGAATGAAGGTCATGCAAGTGGTTTTAAAGCTACTCGTAGTCATTACTTTTTCAAGCAGAGCAAGGCCGTTGAAGGCCAACAGCCTTTTATGGATACCAGCTATATTAACTTAAGTGCTTAAAGGCAAAAAACTGCTTTTATAATATTCAATGCAGAGAATACATATATAATATAGTGGTAATAATAGTAACAGTAATAATATTGTGGTCTATTTTGAGGGTTTTTTAATACACCAGTTTTGAGCAAATTCAAAGTGGGGGATTGTGCCTGATCCATGCCCAGAATTGTGAATATTTTTATTTTTCCCAAAAAGAAGGCGCTTTTTATCTTTTTGCTCATAATTAGTGTATGAAATTAGAACATTATATGCAGGCTTATTCTGTTTATTTATTTATTTAAATAATAAAGTAATTAGCATAGCGTTGTGTATGTTTATCAGAGTGTATAGAATCTTTTAGCACATTAGAAGTAAATTTATTAGAATTCAGCCTGCAATAATGCAATATTAACATGCAGGTTTAGTGAAAATATTCCTCAAAATGCTGCTTTCAGCATTTCCTTTAACATCCAGGCTTTTATTTTATTTAGAAACCATTGCTGAATTTTCAGTTTTGAATTTCGACTATCAATGCCTATTCTGGTGCTTTAAGGACCGGACTATTTTGTCCAGGATGTGCAGTTCTTTCACTCCCCTTTCCAGAGCTGACCTTGTCCCATGTAGACGCCCTCCCCGGACCTCCTCAGGGCCAGGGGAGGCAGTGGAGCCTCCTCGTGCCTTTAGCTTTGGAAATTTGCACTTGCAGTAGCTGTGCCGGGCTCAGCGTGCCCGGATGAGCAGTGCCTGCAAGGAAAGACATCCTGCCGTGCTGAGCTCCGGGGGATTTACTTGGAATTCCTTGTGTGCTGCTCCTGCTGCTTGTTTGATATTTGGGACAGACGGGGTTTAGTGGAAGCACGTGTGGGGAAACAGCAACGCAGAACTAACGTGCGCCGCATTCCTGAGCGGAGCGCGGGCCCGGCGGCAGCACGTGCGCTCCCCGCGCTGGATCCTCGAGCAGAGACCAGCAGGGCATCTGGGGAATTGGTATTCATTGACCAAACCGAATGCCATGGCATGAACAAAACTGCCTTTATAAGAAAGATGGAATTAATCTCTTATGCTTTTAATATTCAGCTCGTGTGGCCTGTTGTTAGTGCAGTATATGGTATTTACTCTGAAATATATTCACTGCCTTGGCAAATAACAACAAGCAGACTTTTGCTTACAGAGCAAGTGCTTCCAGAAGAAAGGCATCTACCTTAAGAACCAGCTAAAGGTTTTAAAATATAGTATTTTCACAGTGATTTAGAGTGGGCTTAGGCCTCTAGCACCACTTGAGATGCCGCAGGGTTTGTGAGACCCTTTCCCGGGGCTGCCAGCTATTCACTGGAGAGCAGGAAACTTCCATGCTGCGTGAGTCCGTGGAGATGAGAGCTGTTAATTGCCAGAGCCTAATAATTGCAGTCATTGGGCTGTGTGTGGTTAGCGTGCAAAAGCTGAGCCTGCCAGATTTCATGTCGCTTCATTACGGTAGCATGGAATCTGGAAGGTATTTTAAGATGAGTCCGTCCATGTCATTAAAAGCACTTGTTTCCTAGCTGGAACTGGACCTGGCTAAAGGTGAAGCACAACACAAAGAAGCTATCCTTAAAGTCAAGGAAGAAGCGAGAACGGAACTTGAAACTGAGAGACAAAAATACCAAGAAATGATAGCAAAATATCAGAGGGATCAAGAAGAGCTCCAGAAGAAGGTGTGTAACACTCAACAGAAAATTTTGTGGTGGTAAATAATGTAAGCCTTTGAAAAATTTATGAAATTATATATAAAATTCATTACACTACACCATGTTTTAAAGAGCTGAAAATAACAGTTTAACATAGTTCACTTTGCAGGTCATTTGATTTGATTTACGGTAATTTGACTATGATTTTAAAACTCTGCAGAAGTACTGGCTTGCTGAAAAGAAATTAAGTTTTCCCATAGATATCACTATTTCTTTGTTTCATCTTGGACACGCCATTTACTTGCTCCTTTCTTTAGTTTTGTTACATGTAGAGATCCCTGGTATCCTCTGAAGATATTATGTAAATTCAAAGCTTTTTTTAAGATGTGTGAGGGCCTGTATGTTTGCACTTACATTTTTCTCTTGAAATTAACATTTGCCTGATACTTAAGTCTACATATCTAAATAAAGGAACTAGATGTAGATTAATGCAGTATTTGTTTTGCAGATACCTGAATTAATATCCAGTGCCATCAATAACCTAAGGAGGGAAGTGGAAATTCTTGAAAAGAAGCTGCAGGATGCCCAGGTCAAACTTGCAGAGAAAGAGGAAGATAAGGAAAAAGATACTCAGAGCCTTAAGGGACTAATTACTGAGCTTGAATTTCAGCTGAAGATGGAAAAGAACAATAATGAATCATTTTTGGATAGTATGAGGAAAGAAATCAAACAGAAGTCAGATGAACTGGAAAAAATAACACAGGAGCGAACACAGCTGATTCACAATTTGAGTCAAGTTCAAGAGGAGGTAGGAACATGGCTGCAGAAATGCCTTGCTATTTTTACTTAGAGACATGTGATCTCTAGGACTCTTTCAAAGCATATGTTCTTGGACCCTGGTACCTACAGTTTAAAAGTTCCTTAAAGCTCAGCGATTTGTAAATCAAATCCATGACAGTTTCATAAATAGAAAGTATTGCAAAATATGTGAAATTTTTAATTGGGCAATCCTTTTAGCAAGTTTTTTTATTCTTTAAAAAAAAGAAAAGCCTTTTCAAGTCCTATATGATATTTCAGTTTTAGCCTCTAGCATCAGATCACATCAGGATACATAAACATGAATATAAACATAAAGAATTCTTCATATTTTCAAAGTAGAAAACGTGGGCAGTTCTTATTTTTAGAATGTGGTGGTTCCTCCCCATTTTCTTACTTATTTTAGAGGTGTTTTGTAAGAAAAACCTGCATGCTGTCACTGTAAGCAGGGATGGACACAGTCCTGCCCTCAAAGGAGGGCAGCAGAGAAAACATCTTTTGCTATGGATTGTGCCACGCGCTTGTGGGTCTGTCCTGCCTCCCACATAATCCTGTATGAATTACAAAATCCATATTTTGTAAAGCAGGAACGCGCAAAAAGAATCAAATGTGAAGAGAAATTGGACTACTGGATAGGTCTTGCCATAGCCGTTTGCTGAATGTTTGGAAAACAGTGGGAAGGAGGAGGAAGAGCCCTACTACTCTCTGAGAAATGTGAAAGCAGTTGAATCAGTGACCATAGATAAGATTAGACTGGAATTTCCGAAGTAATTAGTACCAGGGAAAATTGGTAAACAATCAAAATGAAACTCTAAAATTAATGAGGTCTTGGGCTGCTGTTTACTTTTGCTGCGAAAAGGTTCAAAATCGTTGCGGTAGTGAAATCAGGAGGATGTTGGCAGGCACTCTGTCATGTCATTACGGAAAAGAGCCCGAGAAAGAAAGGCTGCCTTCAGATGCTGATAAGGAACCTTAGTAGGATAAGGAACACCGCGTTATCCTCTGTTATGAGATTCCTCCAGCTCTTCATGTGTTCTTTTCCTCCCCTCCACTTAAGTGTAGTTCCTTCTCTGATATGGTTATATTAGGAAATGGTCAGATAAAAGTGCTTGAAAAATTGAAACCAGCTTCGTAACAAATCTTACCCCATGGTAGTTTGTCACATTACTAGAAATAATTTTGGACAGTAGCAGCGCCCTTGATGTATCCCTGAACACCCAATATCTGTTCAGGGCCAGGAGCACCGGGACCTGCCCTGCTGCTGGCTGCAGCCCCGGAAAAAGCAAAAACACCCCCCACACACACACACAAAAAAACAGAGTGCTACAACACAAGACCCAAGGCACTTAGAGAACAGCTGTTGGAGCTGGTTCTGTGTCAGTGCTGGACACAGTGTTGTGGTTCTGGTTCTGGTCCCCTTGGAGAACACCTGGGATTGCTCTCCTCGTGCCCCAGCGCGTTGCAGGGACGTCCTCTGAGGCCCCACTCCCCACGAGCTGCTCCCTGTCAAATCCCGGGATCGGGTCAACGCTCCTGCCGTAGCTTTGTTGTGTGTTGGAGAACGTGCGTGCCAGTTAAACCGGGGACCTCGCAGACATTTGGACAATTATTTTATGAAAGTTTAAATTTTTACTGCATTTTTTTATTATGACCAGCCTGCACTTGAGGGCTTTGTTCTTGTTATAACTATTTTTTTTTTTAACCCAGCATTAGGCATGCAGGCACTGTAGGTTTATTTTACATACATAGGCATCATTAGTAAGCATCCACCCCTATATGTTAAACTGTTTCGCCATTCCATGGTATCTACTTCAGTGGTGGCATTCTTCCCCACCATGCACGGTTTTTCCTTTCCTAGAATGGGATTTCCTATTTTCCCCCTAGTTAGCAGCTGGGACAGGAGATCTGGAGTAACTTCTGATCACCTGCCTCACATCTTCGGCGAGGCGGCGGGTGCGAGCGTTCCGATACGTGTCCTTGTGCAACCTGCAGAGAAAGCACGAAGGGCTCTGCTTGCATCGTGTGGTTTTGGAAGGAGCACCCGGCCGTCACCCCGGCCCTGGGCTGCAGGATTTAATGGGCACGCGTTGACTAGGAGCGCTTCGTAAAGCCAGTGTTTGTTTCTGTTTGCAGAACACTCTTCTCCAGGAAACGGTGCGCAGAGAGTGTGAGGAACGCTATGAGCTGACCGGCGCGCTGACTCAAGCCAGGGAACAAGTACTGGAACTGAAAAAGCTCAGTGGAAACTTCCCGTTATCGCCGTGTTCCCTTACCCAGGGCAGCCTAACCTCCTGCGCCGCTCTGGTCGATGGCTACGGGCGGCGGCAGCGTGGCTCTGCCGCGCGTCCCCGCGCCGCGCGGGACGGCCTCCTCGCTCAGCGAGCCCAGGAGCGGCGTCGCCGCCGTTATTCGAAGGCAGCTGAGCCAGCTCTGAGCGCGCGGGACGGCGAGGACGTGGGAGCCTCCCGGGCCGTCACGGACCAGGCACCGGGCAGCTCTGGGGCCTCATCTTACCAAATGCAATGCGGGCGTTTCTGCAACTCGATTTGAAGTTAAACTTGTGTGTATGTGTACTGCTGATGTGATAATGTTTCTTCATCCATTGCGTATCAATGTAATTAAATGGTATCTGCAATTCAAGATAAGAACACTAGAAAAGTATTGCTGCTCCAGCAAGAGCGTCTTTGAGAGGTGTACTTAAAATAATTGCCAATTTCTGCTATTATTTTCCCTTAACCACTTTACTGTGGTTATTCGATTTCAGGTGCTGACCAGTGTAATTCCACTGCTTGTTTCTGATGTGAAAATGTGGTATGTTCAGTTAGCATCAGATTTTTGCTGTTGTTTAATTGAGTGGCATCATATTTACAACTAGTTATGCTTAGGCCAATGAGTTTAACTAGTCATGGACTAATATATATCACTGTGCTAGCACTAACAAGAAGACTAAACGTTGTTCAGGGACTTAACTTCCCTCCACCTCGGGGCATGTCTTCAAGCCACGGGAATTAGGAAGGGGTTGAAGACTTAATAGTTTGTCCCAAAGATGGTTGCCCCTTGCAGGGCAATGCACGAGTGTCTTCGCATTAAGTTGAAAGCAGGCGAGCTGCCGTGTGCAGGGAACTGTTACACAAGAGAACCAGGATTTTGTTTTACCTCTTGAAAGATGGAACTGTGGTTTGTTTTGGAACATAAAAACCCCAAACAAGTCCCAGGCATCTTTGATGGAGTGCAAACCCTGCGGACAGAAAATTAGCCTGGCAATAGCAGCTCTTCTACGAAGCCAGCTCTGCTCTTGGAAGTCGGGAGGTCCTGGTGGCAGCCCAGCAACCATCAGACAGCACGAGGCAGCGTTGCAAGGCCTGCGGCTTGGGCATGAGCTCAAGTGGAGCCCCTGAGCTCAGGAGGGTGAGGACCTGCTGGGGGTCCCAGGAAAGGCTCTCGGGGCGTTGAGGCCCGCGGGTGAGGGCAGACCCTGCAGCTCGTGGTGTCCAGGAGATGCACGGAAGTGTCATGGATTGCAGTGTCACGGGAGGTAAATGGCAGGAGGAAACGCTGGAGGTGCTCCCAGGGCGTGCGGCACCAGGCAGCTGACTGGCATTAGCTGTTCCTGCTTGGGATTAGAGCTGGGCACGCTGCTGGGTGCCCTGGAGCTGCTTCCTTACAGGGCCCGGCGCGGCCCGGACGCGCTGCCGGTCACACCGGGACCCTGGGCCTTCCCGTGGCCTCGCGTGACGGGGTGCTCCACGTGGGGCAGGTGACAGCAGCGTCCCCCATGTCCCGTCCGCCATCATAGTCAACTTCTGTTCCCATTGAAACCATCAGTAACCTCAGCTGGTTCTGGTGGTAGCAGAGTTTATCCAAGAGCCATAGCCTGAAAATCCACCTCAACGTTGCTGAACAGAGGCCGGAGCGCTGCCGTGAGCTTGCCTTTCCCAAGGCCAGGAGCCTCACTCTCCTCCTGGATTCAGGTATATCCTGCTGTCCCCTGCATCCTGCGATCCAATGTCGTCCATACGCTCGGGGGAGCTGCTCTAGTTGTGCTAAAACAGGGTAGTTTGTAAGAACTGTTGACCAATGTCAGCAATTTTAATTATATTCTTCTGAAGGGTGTTGAAAGATAGAATTTTCAAAGAAGTTGTGAAAATGATTCCACTGAAGCACCACACTAGTGAAATCCTTTTTTTCCATCAATTTCACAAATGCACAGAGGAAGGGGGTGCACAGCACTCCCCAGAACTTGTTTCAAGGGCAGCCAGACAGTCCCCTTCTGTTTGGTGGTAATCTTGTTTTTCTTTGTTTAGGGAGGATCCTAGCTTCTTTGAGCTTGACAGTGGTTATTCCAGCTGTGCTCTTCATGTGGCAAGGTAACAGATGCTCATTAAGGCAATTCATAAAGTGGTGAGTTCCAGATCTCTATTACGTAGGTTTTAAAATAAAATTTGTAGATGAATGTCAATTATATTTTACAGTATTACAAGAATTCCTAAATCATGTAAATACAGTAAATGCTATTACATTATTTTACTGACTTGTATGGCTGTGGCATAGATATCATGATGAAACCCATGGCAGTTGTTGTCTTATTTCTGAAGTTTAGTCTTTGAATCTTCACATTGAAAAACATTTTTACCTGTGGGCTGCTCCACAGATGGGAAACCAGCACTGTGCAGCAGGTCTCTGTGCTTAAAGGCAGAGCACAGCTGTGACAAGCCGAGTATCCCGATGGGATTCCAACCTCTGTCCTGGCAGATCCCTAATTCCATGTTGCAGCAACCGTCCATCCTGGAGCCGTGTGCACAGGACGGATCCAACGTCCGGGCTCTGGCCAACTCTCTCAGGGTTTATATACTGTAGTATCAGCAGATACAAAGAAAGGCTGTATATTCATAAATTATAAGGAAAGGAATAGCCGGATAAAATAGCGCGAATGGTCGCAGGAGTCATGTTTCTAGCATGAGGGAGGATATAAATCATGAATCGAGTCGAGTCAGGGCAGTATTTCCCTTTCCCTCCTCACAGAAACCCTGAACTCCTGCTGCTAAGCAATAAACTAACTGTATTAATGTCTCTGTCACCAGTGATGAGCTTCCAAAAAGAATTACATTAATTCCAGGTAAGGAGGGAAAGTTCTGCATATCATTTCTTGTAAGGGGATGAACCTGAGTGAGAGGGAGCACCACTGAGGATACAGGCAGCCCCGGAATCTGCTGGAAATCTGCTGGAAATGCAACTTACTGGAGGCAGCGTGTCCTTTAGGAGCAATGCCACTTATCAACGGGATGTTCCTAAGCTGGACCTTGGTGCTGGGACTCATGGCACAAGGGTACATGATAAAAATGCCATGCTTAAAACAAATATGTCTTGTTCCTGCCTCATGCGTGGTTTCTGGCATCTTCCTTGGCAGAGCTGGCATGGTTGCCCCATCTAGACTAGTGCTTTGCATGGGCCCAAATCTTTCCAAGAGGTATTAAGCCCTCTGTTAGACTACCTGTTTGCACAATAGGGTATCTAATATGCTATTTAATATACTGTGTTATTTACCGAATGTATCCACTTATTTTTATAAAATAGTAGCCTTAAATTCCAGAGAAGTGTCAAATATTTAGTGCCTGTTTATATATTTGCTATATTTAAATAAGTAAAAAGTAAATGCTCCCTGTTAATCAAAGGGAGACCACACTGAATAACCAGAACTACAGCATGTGAAGCAAGCTGGGAATGGAAACCGGAGCGGGGCTGTTCCCCCGGGGGGGGATTTCCTTTCCAGGCAAAACTCCCACATCTTTATTTTTAATTGTTTTAAAAGGGGATTTGTTGAAAAATCTGATGATAGGTTTTGTCTTTCATTGTTACAAGCAGTTAAGTTTATTTTGTTGTGGAAAGAATAACCTGCATCTGTAACTGGAATGACATAGAATATTATAAACAAATATGCTTAGGATTTATATGTTATTTTCCTACCCTGAAAGCATAGTACAAGATTAATATGTGTAGGATAATAAAAAGGACACTGTCAAAGATTTATGTTGAGGAGATTTTAACTCTGGAATTGTAATTTGCATGGTAGAATATCTGAGCATCTGGCATTGCACCGTGAACTGTTCCCAGGTAATGAGGAAGCATCTTCGGAGCGAGCAGGGACACTTCCAGGCGGGGATTTTCGCCCAGATCTCAAAGGACGGCCCCCATCGCCCAAAATAAGTGTGTGACAGACGTTCCAGGGCTGCATTTTCCCACCTGGAGCCTTGACTTTCCAGTGCGTTCAGGTCAGTGCCGGGTGCGACTCCTTCCCGTGCGCCGGGCGGTCGCCCGCAGCAGCGACGCTTGGGGTCGCGCTGAGCGATGCCGTGAACGTGTCACTGTCCTGCACATTTTTTTTTTTTTGGCTTTTTCCTCTGATTCTGCACACTTTTAAAAATAATTCAAATTGAAGCACTCTCATTCCGTGTGCGTCACAGCACTGGGGATGAAAAGAGCAGTCCCAGGGCTCCCGGCAGGTGACATCTATTTCCTGCTCTCCCGTTACCCGCGCCTGGGCCTGGCTGCTTTGAGCACAGCACAGGTTTTTAATCTCTGAAAAATCAATCGATTTCCAGATGTCAGGAATCCGAGTGATGGCATGGAGCCATTTTAGCCTGTCAAAACCAGTTTTTGCTAGTTGACTAAATGAACAGATTTGCAGGAAATGGTTTGTCTGGGGGGAACCTGCTGTTTCCAAAAAGATGTTGAAAATTTTTCACATTGCCAGAAAGATCTCTTTTGATGGTACTGAATGTACAAATTCTGCTTTTTTAACTTGTTTATTTGTTTTCCAATTGGAAGAAAAACGCAGAATTCAGTTAACAACTGCATTGTAATAACAGGTAAGAGTGAAAAGCCGTGGACGTTGTTGACTCAGAGCATCCCGGCGTTCCCGCCGCGTTGCGGAGCTGCTGCTGGAAACGCTTCAAAGCCTGGAATGAATTCCCTGATGTCAAAGGTAAAGAGCGGCTCCGTACAAACACCAGGGTAATCACTGCACCCAGGCGGCCCTGTAAAAGGGCTCTGATGATGTAAACAACGTTTGGGCAAAGGGCAGGAGAGGAGCGTTAGACACAGAGGTCGGAGAGCGCAGCTGCTCTGAGAGGGGCCCTGGGGCTGCTTTGGAAGCAGCGGGTTGCAGCGCGCGGGCGCTCCGGCTCCTCTCCTGCCATCCAGGAAAAACGGAGGAAAACCAGGCCGGGAATGCAGGGTCTGCCCCCGTGCAGAGCGGGTCTGCAGTGCCGCGTCCAGCAAAACCGCCCGCCCGAGGGGCAGCCCAGCTCCGTGCGGCAGCCCTGGGCTTCCTAGGCAAAACCTTGGCCCCTGCAGCCTGGGCCTTAGCTCTGGCTGCTGGCTCGTACCTGCCCGCTCTGCTCTGGGAGCAGTCCGGCACGCTGCAGTGAAACTGCAGAGTCTCAGTTCCCCATTTTCACACACGGAAATCGCTAAATTTATCCTTCTCCTTCCCGAGCTGACCCGGGCCACCTGCTGCCTCAAAGCTGTAGCTGGGGGGAGATCAGAGTGGGGCAAAGAAACATATTGGCCCCTTCTTCCCCTTTTAGCAGTTCTCACATTTATTTTTGTTTGTATTTGCCAGTACTGGGATTGGTTGGGAAGTGCTGGAGTCTGTGGGCATATCAGGCACTCCTGAAAAGCAAAGGAAAGCGTTAAACAATTTATGAAACAGATAAGGAAAAACAGGAGCCACTATGCAAACCAGGAGGAAGGGCAAATGCTGGTGAGCATTGGGAGCCAGCAAAAGACAGGCAGGACTAGTCAGAAACCATGTGTGCATCTGGGGGAAAGTTCCCAAAAAAGGATCATCGGTAACAATTGAAAAATGTCCAGAGGAGGTCGGGCACCGAGGGGGATGCACAGGCGACCGGCCGAGGCCGCTGCTTGCGTCAACCTCGTGTCTGGGGGTTTGTAGAGTTGTTCCGAGGCGCCTGCAGCTCCTCCTCAGCAGGGCAGGACTGGGACTGGGGTTTATCTGTTCACGCTGTGCACAGGATGTTCCACTTTCTGTGCCTTAAAACAGAGGAAAGGCAGGTGGCCTTGGACGAGGGGACGTCGGAAGAGTTTTGGGAGACGCGCCAGGATGCAGGTGGCCCCGTGGTTTGCACAGTTTCCAGGATGAGGTTGTTTGGCAAACCAGGCTCCCAGCCCAGATTTAGGGCCCATGAAGTGACCGTGACTCCTTCCTTGGTCTCTGGCACCAGGACTCATGTTCACAGGTGCACCTGTGCCAGACCCCTTGTGTCCCACGTCCTTTTTATCATCTTGGTAAAAGGGATTTATCCACCGATGGCCTAAACGTGGATGTCCAGGAGAGGAGGCTGCGCTGCCGTTCTGGACTATCCCAATTTGCTTTCCTGTGTTGCCATGGATTGGAATTTTGCTTAAAAATGGCCTCAGGCACCTGTCCCTGCTGCCCTGGCTCCACATGGAGAGAGCAGGGAGGGCCCTGCAGGAGCTGCGTGTGCCAGGGACGCTCCGCGAGGCCAACGCGAGGGGAGGTGACGGTTCTGCGTGCCCAAGAGCGCGCGGTGAGCGCCAGGGAGGAACATCTGCTCTGCAGGAGGAACCGGCGGCCGGGTCACCCGAGGAGCAGGGGACGTGTGTGCAGATATGTGTGCAGATGTGCATCTGTGTGTGCAGATGTGCGGAGCTGCCTGCACAGGGGGGGCAGGTGGACCTGTCCAGTTCATGGCCATGGTTGTAGTCACTGCTGCTCACCCCAGACAGCAGTAAAACGCATCAGTGCAAAGGACAGCTGGAAAGTCACATCAGGGATGGCAGAAATGGGGTGAAATTCAGCAGTGCTCATGGAAAACCATTTACCAGGAAACCTGGGGGCAGCTGGGCCCGGCACCTCCGTGGGCTCCTTCCAGTGGTGGGGGAGGAAGAGGACGGTCCCGCACGGGGGGGGATGTGGGGGTTTTTTCAATGTGTGTGCGTGTTTGCCCGGCTGTGCATGCACCAGGAGTGCAGATGTGCATGCACCAGGGGTGCATGTGTGCAGCTGTGCATGCATGAGGTGTGCATGTGCCCAGCAGTGTGTGCCCCGGGGTGCATGTGCACGGCGGTGTGTGCACCGGGGTTGCCCGTGCGCGGCAGTGCGTGCTCCGGCTGTGCACGTGCGCGGCTGTGCGTGCGGCGGGCTGTGCGTCAGGCTGTGCA